CAGGAGGGAAGGGGAAGGGCAGGATGGAAGGGAATGGGTAAAGGAAAGGGCAGGAGGGAAGGGGGAAGGCAGGGTGGAAGGGTATGGGTAAAGGAAAGGGCAGGGGAAGGGCAGGAGGGAAGGGAATGGGTAAAGGAAAGGGCAGGAGGGAAGGGGAAAGGGCAGGGTGGAAGGGTATGGGTAAAGGAAAGGGCAGGGGTAAAGGAAAGGGCAGGGTAAAGGAAAGGGCAGGGTAAAGGGCAGGAAGGAAGGGCAGGAGGAAGGGCAGGGGGAGGGCAGGGTAAGGGAAGGAGGGAATGGCAGGGGGTGAAGGGCAGGGATAAAGGGAAGGAGGGAATGGCAGGGGTGAAGGGCAGGGATAAAGGGAAGGAGGAATGGCAGGGGTAAAGGGAAGTAGGGAATGGCAGGTGAAGGGCAGGGGAGGGCAGGGGGAAGGCAGAGAGAAGGGCAGGGGTAAAGGGCAGGAGGGAAGGGCAGGTAAAGGGCGGGAGGGAAGGGCAGGGTAAAGGGCGGAGGAAGGGCAGGAGTAAAGGGCTGAGGGAAGAGTAGGAATAAAGGGCAGGACGAAAGGGCAGGAGGGAAGGGCAAGGGTAAAGGGCAGGAGTAAAGGGCGGAGGGAAGGGCAATGGGAAGTTGTAGTTTGTCATCACAATAATGGTCGATTACCTCAACCAGGCAACGTCTCCTTCCTCATCCCACGCCACCCTTTCTCACACCCACACCGCCCATGACCCCTTTCTCACACCCACACCGCCATGACCCCTCACCCCGCCACGCCCATGACCCTTTCTCACCCCCCACGCCCGCAGCCCCTTTCTCACCCCCACGCCCATGACCCTTTCTCACACCCACACCACGCCCATGACCCTTTCTCACCCCCACGCCCATGACCCTTTTCTCACCCCCGCCACCCCTCCCACACACACACACCTCCGTCACCTACAAACCACAACTTACGGTGTACAAGAGCTGGTGAAACATTACACTCTTCCTTCAATAAAACCAGCAGCAGAAAGGCCCCCCCAACCCGCCAGGGACCAGCACACCCTCCCTCTCACAGAACACCCCTCCTCTCACGCAACCCCTCCCTCTAACAGCAACACCCTACCTGTAACAGCAACACCCTATTAACAACCCCCTCCTCTAACAACACCCCTCCCTCCCACCCCCTCTCACAGCAACACCCTCCCTCTCACAGCAACACCCCTCCCTCTCACAGCAACACCCCTCCCTCTCACAGCAACACCCCTCCCTCTCACAGCAACACCCTCCCTCTCACAGCACACCCCTCCCTCTCACCACCCCTCCCTCTCACAGCACACCCCTCCCTCTCACCAACACCCCTCCCTCTCACAGCACCCCTCCCTCTCCCCTGCACACCCCCCTCCTACAGCAACACCCCTCCCTCTCACAGCAACACCCTACCTCTCACCGCCCCTACCTCTCCGCACCCCCCCTCTCCACAGCAACACCCCTACCTCTCACAGCCACCCTACCTCTCACAGCAACACCCCCTCTCACAGCACACCCTCCCTCTCACAGCAACACCCCTCCCTCTCACCACACCCCTCCTCTCGCACCCTCCCTCTCACAGCAACACCCCTCCTCTCACAGCAACACCCCTCCCTCTCCAACACCCTCCTCTCACAGCAACACCCTCCTCTCACAGCACACCCCCTCTCTCACCAACACCCTCCCTCTCAGCACACCCCTCCCTCTCTCAGCACACACCCCTCCTCTCCAGCACACCCTCCCTCTCAGCACACCTCCCTCTCACAGCACACCCCTCCCTCTCACGTCTCCCGGAAAATGTAGGTACCGCCTGGGTAAGTTGACAGGGAGAGATTCTATGTCTCACCCATTTAGAAGGATACCCCAGTGGTGGGAGGCAACAGCATTGAAAATGGGGTCACTAAGTCCTGAGTCACCCATAAATTGGTGATTTCAGTGACTATTTTGGAGTGGACGATGCGGCAGTGAGGAGAGAGAAGGAGAGAGAGAGAGAGAGAGAGAGAGAGAGAGAGAGAGTTATGTGTGTTCCTGTCAAGGTTATTTTTGGAGTGTACGATGCGGAGAGAGAGAGAGAGAGAGAGAGAGAGAGAGAGAGAGAGAGAGAGAGAGAGAGAGAGAGAGAGAGAGAGATTACGTATCAATTTAGAGTGGACGATGCAGTAGAAGAGAAAGAAAGAAACAGAGAAAAGAGAAAGAAAGATAGAGACACACACTACGGTTACTTGGTAGTGAGGATGATATGTTAGGCAGCTCCTCTACGGGGTCTTTACTACGTGCAGGAGAACTTTTTACCAACAAGCTGAACAGGAAGAAGCTACGATGGGTTTCCCTTTTTCCTCTCGTGTTTTCGTGTTTTTTTTACAAGAACATAAGAACATAAGAATGGAGGAAATTGCAGCAGGCCTATTGTACCATACTGGGCAGTCCGTTACACCCAACCCCTATCGCTCATATATCTATCCAACCTGTGTTTGAAGCTATCCAGTATATTCGAGTTAATGATGATGTTTGGTAACTTGTTCCACTCGTCCACTACTCTATTTCCAAACCAATGTTTACCTATCTCGCGCCTAAATCTAATTTTTTTTATTTAAACCATTGTTACGAGTTCGCTCCTGGTTGGATAGTTTGAGTACCTTTGTTATATCACTTTTGTTTAGCCCTGACTTCCATTTATGCACCTCTATCGTGTCGCCCCTCACTCTACGTCTCTCGAGGGAGTGCAAATTAAGATGCTTTAACCTGTCTCTGTACTCAAGGTTCCTAATGCCCGGGATTCGTCTTGTCATTCTCCTCTGAATTCTTTCTAGGGATTCTATATCCATTCTGTAGTAAGGTGACCAGAACTGAACTGCGTAATCTAAGTGAGGTCTCACAAGCGCAAGATATAGTTTTAGGATGACCTCGCTAGTCTTGTAACTAACACTCCTTTGTATGAACCCAAGTACTTTATTAGCCTTGTTACGAGCAAATGCACATTGTTTACTTGGTTTAAGATTCCTACTTAGCATTACTCCTAAATCTTTCTCACAGTTGGATTTCTCTATTTACAGTAGTTTAAATTTGTTTTTCCTCGTTTCTATAAGGATGATTTTGTCTCCTGTCATCAACACCGTCACAATCATCACTACTATCATCACCACCATCATCATTTCCACCACTATCACCACCATTGTCCCACTACTATCACCACCACCACCACCATCATCACCACTATCACCACCACCATCACTAGCATCACAACGCCACTCACCATCACCACTGCCCCCCACCCTCCTCTCTCCTCCTCTCCTCTCTTCCCTCTTTGGTGCATCCTCCCCTCCCATTTCACCACCTCTTTAACGTCACTCTTCTTCCCTCTCTTTATTACCTCTTCATTACCTCACTCTCCTCCCTCTTTCTTTGTGAGGAGGAGGAAGGGGATGAGGAGTAGAAGAGAGGAGGAGGAAGGGGAGAGAGTAGACGAAAGGAGAAGGAAGAGGGACAAGATAAACAGGTGAAGAACTTGAAGGGAAAGAAAGGGGAGATGGAAGAGAAAATAAACGCTTAAAAGATGGAACAGTAGAGAACAAAAAACGACGAAAATGAAAGAGAAAGAACGATAACATGGAATAAGAAGGAGAGATAAACTTCAATGGAACGAATAGCATAAAATTTGAATGAACGAGAGGATGAATGAAAGGTAATCCGAAAAAAGCAAAATAATAATAATAGGTCCTGAAAGCCAAGCACATAAATCCACGAGAGATTACATTCAATCCTAACTCGTAAAATATTAATGCCGGAAGCCTCATGAATAAAAATACTCCCTGACATGAACTGGACATCGATCTCTTGGGTGAAATGAGATTGAAATTAATGTGTCTAGTAATTACACCCACGATTAGTTTCTTTCGTTACCAAGAATTCATAAATAAACAAAATTAATGTATTCTTTTGTTTTGTAATGACACTCCCTTGAAATGACGTCACGTGGTGTTTGGGGGTTATATTTATTCCTAGGATTGACTACGACTAAAAAAATTAACATTCTTTAAATAAAGGATTAGGATCACCTGAAGAATCGTCACCCCAGAAAGTCCACCTGAAGAATCGTCACCCCAGAAAGTCCACCTGAAGAATCGTCACCCCAGAAAGTCCACCTGAAGAATCGTCACCCCAGGATATCCCACCTGAAGAATTGTCACCCTGCCAAACTCTGGGGTGACAATTCTTCAGGTGATCCAAGGATTATTATTAATAATTGATAATAAGCGACTGTGATCCGTATGTTAATTAGTAGATCAATATACCAAAAATATTCATGAAATTTAAATTGACAAATCTAAACCAACACTAATAAGCCACCGTAGAGTTATAATACAATGGTAATTACTGATATATAATTCACTCCACCTTACGACACAGACTGACGCAACACACAAATTCATGTTGATAATATACATAAATTCATGGCGGCCACCATGCTGCCAGACGCACAACGACTACCATGTAAAATGCTATATGAGGCCATGCCAGCCCATCTATATTCACTTGCTCGCAGTAAGTGAATCAACAGGACTGGTAAAAAGAGACAAATACCATTAAGTCTTGAGAGAGGATATAAACAGTATATATATGAGACTTATTCTCCAGTACGACATGATATACATAGAGACAGTGACTCATTATTGTCCAGACCAGCACTGTGTTATGACCATGGCTTAGTATGATGCATTACGATACCAGGAAAAGATTTTTACACAATATTAGATTTTTGAAACGCCAATAGAATTTTTTTAGTTAAGATATGTAGAGTGAGAATTTACACAAAGGAATTTTAATCTAACAGGCAGCAGCAATATTTATAATACTTTGGAGGCAACTAAAATTTACGAGTAATTTGGGCCGGGAAGACTAGGCGATAGAAACCAAAAACGTACCTAACCTAATCACCCAACCCACCTAACCTAACCTAACCTAACCTAACCTAACCAAACTTCACTTACCTGTCCTCAGCAATGCGAGCCAGTAGAGGTTCCAGCCATCCTCCCGTACACTCCACGTGGGCGTCGAGGAAGGTGATGACCTGACCCGTGACCTTTTGGCCCTAGCAGACGTGCCCGGATTAGCCCAGACCGCTCGCCCGTCCTTAACACTCGTACCGGCACGGGCAGAGTCTTGACGTGCTCCTCCAACTTCTTACCCAGGTAGTCTGAGGGTGATGGAGGGGGACACGTGTTGAAGGGCGAGGTACTACTGAAGGTGCAACTCTTTACTTTACCATTATAAAAAAAATACTTACAAAAATAAAATAAAAATTACTTATAAATCAGTCAAAAAATCAATCACTTACAAATAAAATCACTTTCCACAAAAAAAAATACAGAAATTAGTACACAAGAAACGCAGACATTTAGAACAGACACAGTACTCTCGGAAGCATCGTCGACCAAGAGGATCTCCTGTAGAAGGGCCCTGGGGGAGCGCTGGATAATGGACCATACAGTACGGAGGAGGGTCGACCACGCCTCGTTATGGAACACAATCACGATGGAGGTAGTAGGCATCAGTGGTGGGTACGACTTGGTCTTACACCTGTAATAATGGGCATGGTTGAGGTCAAGGTGAAGGGCAAGGAAAGGTAGATGGTATAAAATGTGATGATGCAGGAATAAGGTGAATTGGTGATAATGTGTAGACAAATTAGATAATGATGAGAATTAGTTGATAGTGATAGTGTGTATGGGTTGACTGATAGTGAACGGGAAGAAAAGTTAATTACATAAATATTTGAGGACAATATAAATGTATAGTGGTATGATATTGATTAATTAATTCAGTAATTCATCGTTTATATTACAGACAACCATACTGACCAAAAATAAACAAATAAAATATAAATAAACACACACACACACACACTTATTAATAGTCTTCATAAGTATAAAAAAATAGCAGTTTTTACGATACGAGCATTTAAACAATTACACGAAATAGCCAAAATAACAATTAAATACCAGGTTCAGGTTTTAGTAGTAATTTGTTATGGTAAGAAATGCCAGAGTGTCTTTATTTATAACCTGATATACTTAAGTCTCCAGGTGACGTACAGGTGTATTAATTATCCTAACTGACAGGTAAATTACGACATGTACAATATAAATAATCTTGGTTTTACAGGTAATTCATGCAAACACTGTGTAGGAAGACCACGTTGAAGCGAGATCTCCCTAAAATGGCTTTTAAGTATGAGGTCCTAAAGTTTTAAGTACGATAGCCTCAATAACTTAAAAGTAATTTATGTACTCCCCTTTTAAATTCGTTGCCAAAGAAATTTTAAGTAAGAGCTCGTAAGGGTTGTAAACACGACTGATACGTATAGTAAAAAATAAATATAAAAAAATAACTAAAATAAACTACCTTTTTCTCCTATGTTTTCTTACGACACAAACGATACATTCCAGTACTTAAGATTCACCAAGGCAACAGTTCAGTATATCTCTCGGCATCTCGGCATCTCTCTAAAAACAACTAACTGATTGACCTACTGAGAGTTTATCTTCGACCGGACTTAAATCCATCGACCAATTCTCAATCACCTTTTTTGTTTTGTTTACTTTCATTACCGTGTTTTTCTTTTCAACTTTTCATCCTGGGACATAATTTTCACTCACGTAAACAAAGTCACGTTCGTCTCCAAATGAAATGCCAATCACTGTGTGTGTGTGTGTGTGTGTGTGTGTGTGTGTGTGTGTGGAGAGAGAGAGGGAGGAGGAGGAGGAGGGAGGGAGGAGGAGAGACCAGCTCGTATACAACACTATTATAATGACTCTCTCTCTCTCTCATTAAAACCAGTTTACTTTGAGTCAACTTTTAACACAATAAAAAAAGAAATATATATATATTCCATTACATCATTAAACAGGATTTTTATTTCCCCTCAGAGTATCACATCACATGTTTTTATTTCCCGGTGAAGTGAAGCTCCGTGTTGAGCGTCACTCTCCGTTTACTTCCGCCCCGCCTTTAATTATTCCAGATTTTACCACTACAAAATTTAATCTCTCTTTATAATTTTTATTAAATTTTTATTTTTTCATCAACTTCAATGAATGTTATAAGCCTTCATTCCGGTGTTAGACTCGGTATCCGAACACAGTAGGATTAAATATTATCCGGCTATGATCAGCTTATGCCAAGGCTAATTCTGACACGAGACAAAGCACTTTCTCCTCATGCAAAACAATTCACTTATCCGAACACTGCAGAATTATAAAATACCCGGCTTTCACATAACACAAATCCTTCTAATACAGAATAATTCACTTATCCGTATATTATTGCCATTATATATGCAGTACATAATCAACTATTTTACTTCGTATTTATTCGGATATTTCTGGTAAATTTGTTTATTCAGACGATTCGTGTTACCGTGTGTGTGTGTGTGTGTGTGTGAAACTGGTGTTACACGACAACTGTATCTCTCACACACCTGCTAACCAACACACCTGCTGGGTCAGTATATAACAAACGATGAAAATAATAAACAATAAAAGGTCAAGGTTTATGCGTCTCGCTACCTGTGACCTCTGTCTCTCGTGTGCGTGCGTGTGTGTGTGTGTGTGTGTGTGTGTGTGTGTGTGTGTGTGTGTGTACGTGCGTGTGTGGCAACAGAACTCTCGTTAAACACTATTAATCCTTCACTCCACTTTAAAATTCTCTTGCAACTTGACCGATCTTCAAGCGCGACCTGAGGAGGAGGAGGTTTGGGGAAAGGAGGTTTTGGGAGAAGGGGTGAGGAGGGAGGAAGAGGGTAGGAGTGGTTTGGGGGAAGGAGGGTAGGGAGGTTTAAGGGTAGGGAAGGGTGAGGGGGAGGGAGGGAACTGATCCTCTCTGCTCTGTAGACCTGTGTTAAGAGGCAAGCATTCTCCTCTCTCTCTCTCTCTCTCTCTCTCTTTCTCACTCACACACACACACACACACACACCCTCAACACCTGTCAGTTCTACCCAACTTTTGCTTGCCAGGTTGTCAGACACAGGTGAGCAACACGACAAAAATAGTTGCGTTTGTACATTACACTTCCAGATTTTTATTCCCAAACCCATGAATAAACAAATTTAAAATATTCTCCCTTTACAGCATGAAATATTATCACACACACACACTACACATCACACACTACACATCACACACTACACATCACACACTACACATCACACACTACACATCACACACGTTTCAGGATGTGTTTCAGAATAGTCGCAAAATGTTTCAGCGTTAAAGAAGAGTGTTGGGGTGTTGGTGGTAGTAGTATGCTTCAGGAATGTGGACACGAGTGCTGAAATTCAACCGTCTGAAACACATTGAACAATTGAACAGCGTTTGGTAAATAGTTCAATTTTTGGGGTAAATTTTCCTTTCTGATGTTACATTATTGTGGGTTTAAATGTTTTTTTTCCAATTCTGTTTTTGTATTATTTATCGTTTAAGATTTGTTTTATATCGTTTGGAAGTTATAGATATGAATCACTATTAGCTAGATAAATACTGCATCCTCAATAGCGGCATTTAAACAGGTGCAAGATGTTATTTCCAACATTTACACAGGTGCAAGATGTTATTTACCGACATTTACACAGGTGCAAGATGTTATTTACCGACATTTACACAGGTGCAAAATGTTATTACCGACATTTACACAGGTGCAAGATGTTATTTACCGACATTTACACAGGTGCAAGATGTTATTTACCGACATTTACACAGGTGCAAGATGTTAGTTACCGACATTTACACAGGTGCAAGATGTTATTTACCGACATTTACACAGGTGCAAGATGTTATTTACCGACATTTACAGCAGTATAGGACATTGGGCTAATCTTCAATACTGACCTTTACGGAGAGTCGTAACTACTAACACTGGCATTTACCCCCCTCCCCGCCGGCACCAGTGTAAACGCCATTTGGTGATTATATGAGTCTGAAGTTCCCGGCCCACGACCGACTCCCCGTTCCATCTTTCCTGTCCTTTCACCTTCCTTCCAGCTTCCCTTCCCTCCATCCCTCCGTCCTCCTCCCTCCACAACCTTCCACACCTCCTCCTCCTCTCCTTCCTTAATATATCTCCTCCTTCCCCTCTCTCCATGTCCTGTCTCCCCTTCCTCTTCAATCTAACCTCCCTCCCCTCCCCTCCCCAAGTGATTTAACCAGATCTTACGTCCTGTGAGAACACGCGAGTTACTGGAGGGGGGAGAGGGGAAGAGGGGGAGGAGAGTGAGGGAGAGAGGAGAGAGGTGAGGAGAGTGAGGAGAGGGAGAGGTGAGGAGGGGGGAGAGGGTGAGGAGGGGGAGAGGGGTGTGAGGAGAGAGGGGTGAGGTTTTGGAGGTAAGGGGAGGAAGGGGAGACATGAAAGGAATAGGTGAGAGAGGTGAGAAAGAAGGAAAGGAGGAGGAGGTGAAGGGGAAAAAAAGGTGGAGAAAGGGAAAAGGAGATGAGAGGAGAAGAGGAATAGAAAGGAGGACAATATGTGGGGAGAAAGAAGAGTTACTGCAAACAGCCTCTGTACCTCTCCCAGCCAGAAGCCAGTAGGACTTATGAACACACCATTGGTTATCCACATTTCATCTCAGTCATAACCTAGACTTTACCCCCTGAACGAACGAACACACACACACACACACACACACACACACACACACACATACACAGAAAAGTCTAGAGTCTCCTGTATAACTGACCCCGACCTACAAACAGTGCCTCGCCGCGTGTGTGTGTGTGTGTGTGTGTGTGTGTGTGTGTGTGTGTGTGTGTGTGTGTGTGTGTGTGTGTGCAAGTGCATGCCTGAGACTTGCATTAATAGTTACTTACACAACACACACTTATATAATCTCTTTTCTCTCTCTCTCTCTCTCTCTCTCTCTGTATAGAAGCGCACATGACAACAACACCGTAAAAGTCACCCGGCTTAACTCCACCACACAAGACTTAGGTAAAATTCTTCCCTCATCCCTCATTCCCCTTCACTTCCTCCCCTCACTCTCTCACCACCACCTCACACCTACCCATCCCTACCCTCTATGACACATTCCTCCCTGACACCTCCCTACAATCCCAATAATAACAACACTATTAACACACCTGAGGGCTCTTAATGACACCTGTTGACACCTGTTCATTTAAACCTGAGGAATTACTTTGAGTATTATATGGATCTATTTGACGTAGATGCACAGGTGTATGAACCAGTCAATTAAAGTAGACAGGTGAGTTAATTAGGATATGGTGTCTTAGGAATGTGTTTAAGGGTGTGTGTGAAGGGAGGGAGGGTAAGGGAGGGAGGGAGAGGAGGTGATGGGAGAGGAATGTAGGGAGAGTGATAGAGAGGAGGTAGGGAAAAGGGAAGAGATAGATAGAAGGTGAGGGAGGAAGGCGGAAGAAAGAAAAAGATGTACGGAAGGAATATGGAATCAGGGGAGGAAGGACGAGATGGAAAGAGTGGGGAGACGAAGGAAGGAGAAAGATGGAGTAAGAAATAAAGAAGGGACGAGAGTGGTGGGATAATCAAAAGTATCTCTCCAGGGAGTTAGGGCAGGTGTCAGGTTCAGGAACTAGTGTACATTATTATTACTACCTCTGTGTGTGTGTGTGTGTGTGTGTGTGTGTGTGTGTACATGCGTGCGTGTGTGTGTGTGTGTACAGGAATGACACTCGATATTTATATAAACAGTACATCCACTGAAACAAATGAGGAATTATTAAACAGAATGTGATAGCACACACACACACACACACACACACACACACACACACACACACACACACACACACAACCAACTCAGGTCTCTCCTCCAGGCGTCGTCCAATTTCCCGTCCGGCTCACACTGACTTGGTAATCGAAATTTTTCCTTCGTAAGTCCGTCCGCCTGGAGAGACTTCGCTCAGGTGGTTAAGTGTGGCCGCGAGTACACACGCACACACGCACGCACGCACACACGCACGAATATTAACCACTCTCAAGCTACTTAAGATGGTTTGGTTTGGTTAGGTTAGGTTTGGGTGTTAGGTTAAGTTGAGATCATTTAAGTTAGGTTGGTTATCCTTCAGGTAAAACACACTCAAGGGGGTTAACTATGTATTTACACCATAAACTCACCAATTAAGTGTAAATCGTAAAAAAAATTATATTCCCATATGTAAAATTAATTGTCATTGCCTAATTTGCCTATAGACCTTGACCTCGTATAGAGAACATTCAGAGTATAATTAATAATGCATATCAAACTAATCCAAACTAATTATACATGCAAAATTAATTCCCCTTGTTCATATTAAGGCGGTAATGTTATTTTATGTAACCATTCTGTATAACAAACTTGAATATATAATTAGAGGGAAAACAAGAATGAGGAAACGCATAAAATTTCCCTTCAACACAAGCCACTCGCCCTCCTACAACACAGCCCACTCCTCCTCCTACAACACAGCCCTCGCCCTCCCTACAACACAGCCCCTCGCCCTCCTACAACACAGACCTCGCCCTCCTACAACAAGCCCTCGCCCTCCTACAACACAGCCCACTCGCCCTCCTACAACACAGACCACTCGCCCTCCTACAACAGACCACTCGCCCTCCTACAACACAGACCACTCGCCCTGCTACAACACAAGTCACTTACCCTTCAAGGCGGACATCTGGAAGAGACCTGTTGAGGCTGATGTTGTCGGAGGCGAGGAGGTTGAACTGGTTGAGCTTGAATTTCTCCTTCATGAGCGCCTCTTCCCCTGGCGCCGTCTTCAGGGTTTACCCATCTCTCCAGGCATACCGGGGTGTTCCTGTACCGTCGGCATGGGCACCCACCGCTTTAGTTCCCCAGGCGGGTAGTCCAGATGCCACCCCTGTAAACAAGACAACAGAGGTAGGGATCAGTTTTGTTTATCACTGAGAGTATAAAACCCATTTCCCGGTGAGAATAACGCAGCAGCAACGTGAAGAGGAGGGGAGGAAGGGGAAAAGGGGGGGGCAAGGTGGTGTTATTGTGTGTGTGTGAAGGGAGGGGAGAGAAAGATTGTCAGTGAGGGGGGAAAAATCACAGTGCAAGTCCCAGCATGCTTTTGTTGTTATATTAGACACACAGACATACACACATACACACACGGATCATCTACACCACACTGATTTTCTTAAGGAATTATTACTATCATAAAGCCTAATTTATTCACCTAAAGAAAAATTTGTCCGCCGTGTATATTAGTTAAATTACAACGCATTACCTGTATATTGCAAATTATTACCTGTGCATGACGGCATATCACCTACACCTTATAATACAGTATATCACCCGTGTGTATAACAAGTCTCCGTATACATTGTTGGCAGCTTTACAATATGTAATAACATCATGAATCATTCTACCAAATTAGATTCTCGAGTAACGGGAAATGAAATCATGGCACTGTACGTATTAGTTTAGTTCTAGTAATAATATAACAAGTCACAT